CGCCCCCCGCCCCGCCCGCCGCCGCGCCCGCGCCGCCCCCGCTGCCGCCCAGCGACATCTGCGCCAGCGCATTCAGCACGCTGTCCATATTGATCGCAGGCGCGCTGTCGCCTTCGCCCTATAACATAACGTATTTATTAAAACATTAAAATTGCAGTGTCACACCGCAGCCACCGCGCGGTCTATACGCGTATACCACGGGTACATACACACGATCATTTTTTTACTTCTTTACATTTTATGTACAGTAACTTACTTTTTGAGGAACCGGTTTAAAGAAGTGCAGATAACAGAAACCACGGAAGCCCTGGAAACGATATTTCAACACTTTTACTCTAGTTTTGGTGATGAATAATTTAAAAAAAGTAAAAAAGAAATATGAATACCTTCCAGACCATGATCTGCGGCTTGACGCCGCGCTCAGACAGCGCCTGCTTGAGATCGCGTACACGTGTCGTTGGACTGATGTTTGATATCTAAACAAATTAATATTAAAATACGTACACGAAAAGTTCACATGTAAATTCTATCTTACTAATATTATAGATGCGATTGTTTAAATGGATGGATGGATGGATGTTTGAAGGTATCCAAAACGACTGAATGGTCGCAATAGCAATGAAATCTGGCGTACATATAGAACACAATCTGGAACACATTACACATAGGCTACTAATTTAGTTTTTTTTTAATTCTGCGCGGACAGAGTCGCGGGCGACAGCTAGTATACCATAAACATTATGCGTACTCGTCCACCACCAAAGCGTTGTTTCAGCGGGATCACCGCGTCGTTCACCCGTCGTAAACACGTCGACGCCGCGTTATATCTACTAAGCGGCAAATTGTTACCTTGACAGAGAATTCAATATCCGGCCTGGGTCTGCGCGGGCGGCGCGGCTTCTCGTTGTCCTTGCCCTCTTTGCCGTCTTTAGACTTGGTGCTGTGTCGGCGACGTGCTGCACGACGCGCTTTGCCGATCTTTGCTTCCTCACCTTCGGTGGTATTACCACCCTAGGGAAACAATTATAATATTTTTTGGTATGAGTTTAATATTTTTTACACGGTTACTTTAAACGCATTTAAGTTTGACAGAAATATTTATTTTCAAAAAAAAATAATAATTTTCAAATCACATAAATGAAAAAGTTTCGATGGATGCATGGATAGATGTTAAAAAATATCTCCGGAACATCTCAACGGATTTCGATAAAATTTTGCATAGGTGTAGAACATAGTCTGGAAGAACATATAGCAAAGTTTTTTTTATTTTAATTCCAGGCGTGATTTTATGAAATAAATATTTCAATGAAGAAAAATTGGCAATTCTTTTTATTGATTAAATGTAAGTACCTCTCCCTCGCTGTGACTCTTGGTGGATCTTGTGCGACGTCGCGGGCGACGCGGCCGGCCCTGAGGACGCTCCTCCACGTCCGTGTCCACTTCCTTCAGTGTGCAAGCGCGACCAGTACTGCACATCACACACTTCATGTCACCATCAACACTAACAAAATACGTCCCAACCCAGGGTTTCGGAGCCTACTCTAAGTTGACTAAGGCCCAGTAAGGGTCGACTTCACAAATACCTTTTAATCTCTTCTCAGATATGTGCAGGTTGCATCAAGATGTTTTTTTTTATCGTAAGAACGTCGGATTAAAATATTATACATATATAAAGCTAAAATCGATAAACAGTTTGGTACATGGTTGGATTCGAACCCTGGACCTGCAGATTACGAGTTGTGATCCCTAAGCTATCGATGCTTGGCATCGAACAATATAGGTCTAATCAAATAATTTGGCGGCTCAATGTCAAACACCCACCTACACTTTAGATCCACACCACGATTGCTAATATGTTCCGAGCGGTCAATACATTTGAAATATACTATACAAATAACTCACAGCATTTCAATATCTCTCAGTTGTCCGAGTATCGGCATGAGTTGCACACGTCTGTTGGACAGCAAGTGCCACAGTATGCCAGTCGGCCGCTGGCTCATGCGCTGCGTTTCTATCACCTGAACAACATCCACGTTTACACTCAGAGTTATTGACTTCTGCACCTTTCTTTGGATTTACCGCGTTATCCACGCGTTAATTACGTGTATACACCGCGAGACTGCTAAATAAGCGAGATATTCCTTCAAATATCTAAGACACTAGAACAGGGGAAATTGATTCAGAACGATTATCTATATTATTTTAGTAATTAAGCTAGAAAATACAAAAATAATTCCTAAAACTATCATCTATATATATATAAAAATCAATTGGTGTTCGTTAGTCTCGCTAAAACTCGAGAACGGTTGAACGGATTTATGTTAACTTGGTCTTGAAATGTTCGTGGAGTTCTAGGGAAGGTTTTAACGGTGAGTAAAATTCGAATAATAGCCGGGAACTAATTGTTTTTTTTAATTCCACGCAGACGAAGTCGTGGGCGACAGCTAGTTTTGAAATGAGAAATGAAATGACTTACCTGTGTTGGCGTGACAATAAGATCGATGGGCACATCATGAGGACCAAACAACTGCGCTGGGAATGTATCGAATACCTATAACAATAAACGTATTTACTTATTTTATTAGTTAATAATTGTATTTTTTTTTTAATTTTATCCCAAAAATCGCTGAAAGCTACTGGAATCTATAGAACTCTTTGTAGGCAACTTAAATCGTCCAAACTAATATCGTATGGTTGTGTCGTGAGATTTGCGTTGCGATCCAAATAATACGATAAATCGTCGACGCACGTCGTATAACCTGTCAATACTAGCGATGTATGTCAAGTGTCAACTTTTCTGTCGAAGATTTTAACAGGTTGCGAGCGACTGTACTCGGCAATGATAGAAATGTCGGAGATGCGCGCTGTGTAGTAAGTCGCTTAGCGATTGAACTCGACGGGTTCCGAAGATATCGAGCTAGTGAAGGGAACCCTTTACAATCCCACAATGTTTACAGTTTTGGGATATACTAAGAATTTACGTGGCCTTGTAAGGGTCTTAGAATATTTCTATGGAAAAAGATTTTTATGAAATAGGCAAATAAGATATAAATAAAATGTCACCTGGCAATCGTGAACAGTGGTCGCCACCAATGTGTTTGGCTTGATAGCTTTCATATGCATCATAAGACCAAACTCCAAATCGCCGTAACCTGGTGGCAAAGGTACGGATATAACGTGAATATATTACTAATATTATAAGAAAAAAAGTTAGGATGTATGGATGGATGTTTAGTAGAAGGTATCTCCAGAACGGTTGAATAGATCTCGCTGAAATTTTGCATATATGTAGAACAAAATCTTGAAGAACAAACATGCTACTAATTTTGTTAATCCCGCACAGACGAAGTTGCGAGCGACAGTTAGTCATAAATAAGTACATAGATAATAGTATATTATTTACCTCTTCCTTTACCAATACGGTAACCCTCCTTGGAGACAGCCACAGAGCCCATTACAACCAAGTCCAAGGTCACCGTGTCTTCAATACCTAAACAACCAAGACAATTTTGACAATAAATTGTCATTTCTCTCATTCCCTTTAAAACCCTTCCCCTTTAAATTTTATGATTATTTATATTTCAACATAGTCGTGCTATAAAAAGTCCTAGAGAACAAACAGTTGGTGACACTAAACTATTTATGAAGTCTGAATAATTTTGATACTTTTCCAAGTTCCTTATTACGTTGTCTGAATAATCTTAACACTTGTGTCAGTTTACTATTGTGTTAAGTCCGAATAATTTTGATACTTGTGCAAAACAATAGGTTATGAAATCTGATTAATCTTGATATTTTTGTAAGCTACAATGTTAATATACCTGAAAAATTTAACGATGCAAATTCAGACCAAATAGTTTTAATACTTGTACATCTTACCTATAGGCTGTCCGTAGACCTCCATGCCATTACGTGACACGGCTTTACGGTACGCGGTAGGGCCGGGTTCACCTTCCGGCAGTACGATCTTGTTGAGGAAGCCAGTCTGCAGCCGTGGCACGGGCACATATAGAGTCTTTTGCTGCTCCAAACATATCACTCTGTAGATAAAAGCCTTTATGTACTAGGTATTGACCACTTCATCGCATATACGGAATATTTTTTTAATGTTGTAACCGCGTTTTAATTTGTTCTTTTTTCTAATATCGACAAATTTTTTGTAGAATTATTATTTGAAATCGCAATTTTCACTTCAAAAATTAATATAATACAAGTATCAAACATTGTTAGTTGCTATTCGATTTTACCTACCTTATCAAATCAGTGGGCAGAACGTAAGGCTCCAAATTAGGGATGCGGCCTTTACTTTGGTGCCTTGTGAGGCAAAATGCAACGCTATTTAGGGCTACCGAAGGTTGGTAATCGATTGTTTGAATTCATTTATTATGACACAATCCTCAGGGACTAGACAGTGTCGACTAAAACTATTCTAATATTGTAGAACTAATAAGTTCTAATTATAGTGGATAAACTAAAGAATTTCCCAACTAAGATTATTAATATTTGAGCGTTTGATTTCGTTCAGTACCTTAGTGTAGACTCATCATCTTAAATCTACGCTAAGGTATTACCCCAAATAGATTGGTAAATACTTAATTGCCGGCAAAATTAAAGTTGTTTTAGATAGAATTAATTACAAACGCGTGCATTTGCGTGGCATTTAAGGTTATCAACAGATAAGAAATCATAGAAATAATGAGTTACATTGTTGTTTTATTTTTTTATTTTTTACTAGTCACCGACAGTAACAGGAGAGCTGTCTTATAACGTCACAAACGCGATTAAAAAAATTACGATGTGGTTACTAAGAGATACTTCGTTTCGTGCTTGGTTTTTAATGTAATTTACTAGCTGCCCAGAAACTGTCCGCCCGGAATAAAAAAAACTTGTCTATGTGTCCTTCCAGGCTATGTTCCACATCTACGCCAAATTTCAGCGAGTTCCATGCAAGTTCTAGATATACCTTTTCACAAACATCTGTACCTCCAAACATTCCCATTTATAATATTAGTAAGATATGAATATGATACATAGAAAGCTGTAAACGTAATGTGTCGGTTGGATTAAGCTGAAGAAAAAAACAATATGCTTCAAGTAACACGCCTAGATATAACGCGGTATACGGTATGCTCCTAATAAACGAAATTCTTAGCAAAAAACCAACGAGGTGGTTTTAGGGCATAAAAAATCTTACTAATATTATAAATGCGAATGTTTAAATGTTTAAATTAATCGTAAATTTGGAAGTCAAAGCCGCGAGCAACTGCTAGTTTATTAATAGAATAGACCAATTATCAGTAAAAATGCAGTAAACATAGCGTGCTACACCGACCCGCGTTGTGAAACTACCGTCCAATTTCTTGGCCAATGCACTTCCTTATAACTTTAATACGTTTGACTTCTTAAGGCAATGTATAACAACAAATGGGTTTTTAATTTAATAAAACTGTATTTGAATTAAACAGCTTTTAAATGGACGTAATAACAACAATGAAAAAATAAACAACGAGAGAAAAGAGAAAAACCATCACCTTTCAATGCTAGAACTAGATAAAAAAAATGCCTATGACATTCTGATGAACAGTAAGAGTTCAATGACACCTCACTTGTGACGTAACTATATCCTGTAGTATTTCAACTGCAGTCAGGCAATAATATCAATAAATCGAGTAATCTATACTTAAAGTGTCAGAGGCCTAATTTAGTCTCCCTATCCTCTTTTCTTTAAGGAAGGATGGGAGGCAAAGTGGATTTGAGGGAATAAGGGACACTTAGGAAGGGAAAATACTCTCGTTCTGTGCACCCCTTCCTCCGTTGATTAAAGGTAAGCAACGCATTCACATGCGTATGTCTATGGGCAGCGGTCACTTCGCTATTTCAGCGAAATCAGGTGTCCGCTTCCTACCTTACGATATATTAAAAATAAGTTAATAACATACCTGACTGACTCCTGTGGTTTATCCGGGTTCACTTTTACAGTGTTGGCATTCTTGAAAACATCCAGTTCAGCCAACCTCGCGGCTGCCTCGGGGGCTCCCTTGAAGTTGGGGATCCGATTGTAGACAGGGCGGGGGAACATGGCCAGACTGTTGTTCTCCAAGTGACGCCATACTTTGATCCGGAAGGATTGCTTCGTCACCTCTTCGGGAACTACTGCCGGGACTGCAATTAATAGATGCGATATTTTATTGCATTAATTAGCTGTCGCCCGTGACTCTGTCTGCGCGGAATTAAAAGAAACTTAAAAAGTAGCCTATGTATTCTTCCAGACTACGTTCTACATCTTTGCAAAATTGCAGGTAAATCCGTCGAGCTGTTCCCGAGATACCTTCAAACAAACATCCATCCATCCATCCAAACATTCGCATTTATAATATGTGTAAGAAGTAGGATTGAAGCATATAAAAAATCTATAAATTTAAAAAAATATGTTCGCAAAAAACATTATCATAGGTCTAGTAATAATATTAAAATGCCAACAAACATTAAAAATAGTACAAATGAGGTCATTACATTACTTCATCCATCAGGTTTTAGTCACACCTCAAATGATGAATTTATTGCAAAGTAACGCACACGCATCTCAAGACGATAAAATCCGCTATCAGTGAAAACGCACCTTAAAGCCGTGACATTATAACATTGCAGTTCAAAACATCGATAAGAACAAATATGTAGTGACCATATCTACAGATTTCTACGCAACACTACGTAGGTGTAATTAAGAAATATTCACAACGTCCGTAGGAAGTAATTCTTACAAGATAATCCTTCTTGCTATTTTGAACTCTATTTTCTATGACATATGAGTTGTATTTGTTTGAGATATTAAATTCGGTATGAAGTATTTAACGTGTTATATTCGATTTTACGCGTAACAATTGCATTTATCGCATACCACTCCATACATAATGTAATTAAATTGTGATTTGTTATTTTCAATTTGCACTATAAATTAGGGTCTGTAATCTATAATTTTACATGCATGCAAATATGCATTATTACTTCCAACTAATTATTGTCATCATGTTGGTCTTTTAAATAGTACCAACATTTAAAAAAATCTCCATATAATCATTATTAAAACTGATTTACAATTTACTGTACCATTACAGTAATGAAGTGAAAAAATATATTTTACTTATTTGAACAGACAACTATAACAGAAAGTTCAAAAATAAGTACCTCATAAAGAAGGGCATTGTCTCATTACACTGAGAATAAATAAAAAAAAACTTGAAGCGTTAGTATCAAGGTCGCGTACAATAATCCAACACTTGTGCATATATGCACAGGTGACATGTACACACAGAACCACAATAAAACGTGACAAAATACACGGGTATGAGAACATATTTGTTATCTCAGTTTTATTTTAAGACAATGAGAGGGATGGAATTATGTAAAAGAAATTCAACCAAAAAGAAATGAGAAGATTTGGACCATAAGTAATATTTTTAATTTATAACAAAAATAGTTTGAAAAATGTTTCTTAGGTTTAATGTCAGTCTAGTAAGTGATCTAGAAGATCTTGCTTCTTGTATCAATTCTAGCTTTTGCCCATGATTTATGGATGCGGAGTTGAAAAACAAACTTAAAGTTGCCTGTGCATTATCCGAGAATATTATATATCTTTGTGCCAAGTATCATTGGGGTTAGTTTAGCCATTTTAAACTAATAAACATCTACTATTCTAACCTTTGCACTTATAATATTAGAAAGATTGTGAGATATTTTCAAATCGAGTGTTAAACAATAGCAATAATCATTCCAATATCTTATTAACCTTAAAGTGAGGGTAATCTGAGAAATCTAAAATCATTCCGAATATAGGATATTTTGTAATAAGTCATATTCTACAATATTACTGCTAATTGTATTAATTTCTATTTTCTACATGTTATTACATGTTGATAATTAAATTGCTATTTTACTTGGTCACTAGTGATAGTAAATATTTATTTTGTTTATCAGTTACATAATGTAAAAGTATATATAAAGCATTGTAAACATTAACAAAGTTGAAAAGATTGGATTTGAGTCTTTATGCATACTATAAACCATATTTTATATAAACATTATATGTCGGTGCCCATGATACAGGCATAACCTTGTGTATGCATCAAAATAACCATAAATGGTAACTTAAGCCTAATCTAATTTCTCAGTTATGTGCAATTTTTATGTTAGTTATTGTTTTAAAAACTTTTTCTTTCTTTCTTCTTTCTATAAGTAAAAACATTCATCTAGAAATTGTGTAACAATTTTTAGGGTAGATTTACTTTTTTAAATGTGATGTTTTTCGAAATAATCAATTTACAATACATGTGTTACATAAAATATTGAGGATAATACTTAGAGAAATCCCGCAGCTTGCACAGAGTATGGTAAGCCAACAATAAGCAACTGTTGATACCCATATCATCTTTGAATGAAATAAAAAAGAAATTAGAGTATGATGGCAGCGTGATACTATTACTATCCAATTTATCATCATTATATATTTTTTATAACTGTACGAATGTAGAAAAGAGAACGGCACCGACGTAATTCAGCCTAATAAATCAGTTGCATTTTTATAATAGTGGGTAGAACTGTGGAATGTGAGTCATGTTTCACACTCCAATTAAGATGCCCACATTATCAATAATTATAAGCGAAGAAACCACCCAAATACTACTGAACCGACGCACGAAACATTAAACGCAAGTAAAACTACTATCGCGCTATACTAGATTCTAAATACATTTATTTGTGTACGCCTTGCGAAATATTAGCTGATCTAAACGTATTCTTTTCTAATCGAGGGTATATGAAAAAAAGTTGTCTAAACGCTTCTAGACTGTTTTAATAAATAATTAAAGCAGTAATATAGCATCTAACAATGAATATTTCCACCTAAATTAAAAGGAAAACTGTATACAAGACATTGAAATATTGACAACAAATATGAAACTTACTGTTTTCGGCCGGCGCCGCTGTCTCTTCTCCGTTCTGCATCTTAATATTTTTCGCAATCGGGAGGATGTTGGTGTATATCCGGCGATATTTAAAGGAAAATCATCAAAATTAAATGGAAAATCAAATCCTTTTGCCGGACAGAACCGTCACACACAAAAATAGAACGCGAATAAAAAACAATTGCAACCAACTTCGCGGCTTCAGTCAGATTGCAGGAGTACCAACCAACAAAGTAAAAAGCTGCGTTTTGATTTTACAAAATATTATGACTTCAATACAAAATATCACATTCTTCTTAAAAAGATAATACATACAATATTCATTTAATAAAACTTACAATTGATTAATTATTCGTATTATAAAATTTGCTAATACATATTTATTGATTGTTATGATTAGTTAGTTCCATACCGAAGTTTATAGTTTGTTTTGCTATTGGAACTTAGTCTTTAATAGCTGATAGTGGAGATACGAACTCATTGACGATAATGTAATATTAGATTTAGGTAAAATAACTTTCATGAAGGACGAATCTCTTTACATACAAAAATGTATGGTGTCAGGGATACCAACCTTAGAAAAATCAAAATTGAATGTAAGTACAATGTCATAATACTAAACAACAAGAGGGTACATAATTAGGTTAAATGTTAAAGTTACCAAATAGAAGAACGTATTCTTATTTAAATAATAAAAAACAAGGCAAATAAAATTTTATTCAAATAAATATAAAATACAATAAGTGTATAACCAATTCTTAATTAAGATCTTAAATACATATTAGCGTATAGTTTGCGACATATGTAGTGGTGTCAACATTAACTCGAAGGCAGCATCTTTTAGATTTGCCCCACGGAGATTTGCTTCATGCAGATCACTGCCTGATAAATCACAGCACTGGGAACAAAAAAAATGTTATAAACCATAATATTGTTGATTGTTACATAAATAAATCTTTATTAGTTCATAAACACACATATTACAAGTGTCTTATTATAAATTAGTAAAAATTCATGCAGGGACTGAAAAAGAATATGCTAGACAGGAGTTTCACTACCAATAAAACAGTAGGAAAATCAGTCATCTCATGTTCTCAACGGAAATGAGAGGGACATTGTTATATTTTTGTAAGTTCTCAAAAAAACATTTGGAATAAAATACCTCCAGATCAGCACCCGCCAATACAGCGGTTCTTAGATCACAGTTTTGAAGGTTGGCATTTTTCAGTGTTGCCACTCTTAAATTAACACCGGCCATGTTGCTTCCTTCTAAATTTGCACCTGAAAAAAACAATAATGATACTACAGACATATGCATACAATATTACTTCTTAAAATAAATTAAGACCAATTCATTATTACAGTATTTCAAGTTCAACAACATACTGAAACACTCAGTAATTAAATGGTCTCTTTTAAGGTACGTTTAGTCTAAGAAACCTAAACTAAGTTTGCCTAAGTAAGCAGTTAGCAACTCACAGTGTGGCAGTTAGTAAATTTACCTTTTAGGTTAACTCCTTCTAACACAGCCCTTGACCCGATCGGGTCTTCCATATTGCAACCTCTTAAGTTTGCACCTGAAATAAAAAAAAATATTACATAAGATAATTATTTCTAATATCAAGATCTAAAAGTTAGTTAAGTAATTTTGTTTCTTATGACATCACAATATGCATAATTATTATATTATTTTATAGCAAAAATTAAAACAAATTTACCTTCCATATTAGCGCACAATGCCTTTACTCCTAAAAGTTGAGTTCCCTCTAGATTGGCATGAGACAAGTCAGCACGCTCCAAGCAACAATGCGATAAGTTTGCTCCGCTCAAGTTACACCCGGATAGACAAGCATACTGGAAATTTTATATATGTTTAGTTTGTACATGTTTTTAGTCTGTACAGTAAAGTGTGTGTGTGTGTTGTCAGCCCATATCTGTCCCAACCTAGGGAATCGGACTCTTTCAAAGTAAGGGGTTACTAAGGTCAATCATAACCCGGAGCTCGTTTGATTTCACACATATCTTTGAATTTCTTTGGCGACATTTGCTGGTTGTATCACAATTTTCACCTTCATCATAAGAATGGCAATAAATGTTCATATTATACTAGGAAATAAAAAAAAAACACACATTGATATTTAACAACTGCGGCACCAACTCTCTATGTGAATAGGTTTGGATTTGAAGCTCTAATTTTATATAGTTAACTTAAATGACAGGAAAACCTAGGTTAATAATGAGTCTGTAATTTTTCCTAAAGTATCATAGGCAAAGAAAACCTTCTTTACAAGATGAATAAATTTTATAATCTATTGATCTATATATTTAATACCTCTATTCTTAGGCAAAATGTAACTAACCTTAAAATTAATGTATCTTAAATCCAGTCTGCTTAGATCAGCACCTGCCAAGTTAACCCCTTGGTACCGTAACTCAGAAGTAGTAGATGTCAATATAATTGAGCGAACAACATCCTTCCTTGTCAGGCAATGATTACTGGAACTGGCGGAAGTAGACTCTTCTATTAATTGATTTAAATGTGGTATCATGGAATCAATACCTGAAAAATTTAATATTGTTCATCATTATCCCTCTGGTTTTATCACACTTGTGTAGGGTTGGTGCAATAGGTTTTATAAACTTTAAAGTTTTCGGTTTCTTTTGGTTGGCTGCCTGCCTGTTGCCAACCCTACAATTATTTTATTTATTGTTATATCCAGTCAAAATTATAACATATTTTAGATAGCTGTATCATCAGTAGAAATGCAATTAAGGTATATAATATTATGTATAGTTAAATTAATGTAGCATTGATGAACACAAAAGAATATTACTAATGAAATACTGTATATAATTACTAATATTTAATGATATATAGTACTTAATTGACTCCATATTCTACTTACTAATATATTAAATTCAAGTACCATAAAATACTGCTTCTTCCAGTACTCCTTTGGGATTAATATGTTTGTCTAATATAACATCACCATGTCTTAAATAATTAAGTATTGGCTCAAAATAATCCGGGCTTCTGTCTATTAAATACGCGCCTGTAGAATCTGTGGCACTTGGATTCATCAAATATACATTATTATCTTCAGCAAACATACGAGCAAGCATAGATAAAGGTTCTTTAGCGAGAATTGTTCCTCTGGACGTTGTAAAATGCCTTCCACCAACATTAAGTGTTATCCAATCGGACACTACGCGTTCACTGTCAGTACTCGATTGACTACAATAACCTAAATTAGTAACAGTGTCGCATGATTCCGAAGAGTTTGTATCTATAGAAAGGTACAGTTTTTCCTCATCTCTTATAACCCTTAGGTCTACAATCTCACAACCATTTGACGAGTATAATTTTAAGTTTTCCTTTTCCATATCGAAATGCAAGGATATCTGCGATTTGAACGTTTCAATCGAATCTTCCACAGCCATAAGTTTTCCATCATCTTCAGATTTGTTTTTATATACATATACACGTCGCATAACGATTGTAAGAACTAAATATTTAACAAATAGACTATCGACGGAATGATAAGACAAGGCCCAAGGCAACACAACATGCAACAATGAATGACATTTGACATTTGTATTTTGTGTGACATTTGACGTTTAAACACACGGCAAAGGCAATAAGAACCTTTAGATCACTTTAGATATTAGTTTTTTCTTTCAAAAAATTAAGATATTTTTTATTATCTAAAATTAAAGCGTATATACATATCTTTATAAATCTAAAATATTACAAATTAAAAATGAAGACATAATTAAAAATGTAATGAAGTTCATTGAACTCTTGATCAACCTTTTCAATTTTCGTTATATCTTTGTTCACAATTTCGATTTTTAACGGACATTAAGTTTTAAAGATGAACAATAAGTTCTAAAATTCCTAATTGAATGCTCGTATTGTGTGCCTGAATTAAAAATTACAGCGGCCTCTTTATCTAGTCAATTTTTCTTGAGTAAAAGATATCATAAATTTGCTTATTTTCTTTTATATTCCTATTTCCCATGTTCATTTACTTATTTACTAGGTCCCGAGTATGAATAAAATCAGACAAAATGTAATGAACTGCGTGAATATAATAAGTAATTCTAGAACCATTATGCTCGGATAATGGTGGCTTTCAACCTTTAATAATATCTAAAAATTAAAGCTACAAAAAATTACAGTGATATTATTTTCAATATTATGTTTTAGATTATTAAATTTGAATTCATTATTATAATATATGTAGAATATTAGTTAGATTAACGATAATTACTTGTAGCTTAAAAAGTAAAAGCACTTTTACTAGACACGTTATTTTACAATGAAAAATAAAATTAATAACAACACTTTTTCTGTTAAAATTTCTCAAGAACCTGCCAAAGAGCTCACTGCCCTGGCGAAGCCCTTGAAATTACTTTTAAATATGACTAATAAAGATTATTAAATACTAAATTGGCAAGAAAGAATAACCAAAACCTAGTTTATTAATTATTCTTTCATAGTTATTAATATAATAGTTATCATATTTATTATTAAGTAATGAAATAAATACTAACCTATTCCGTATGTATATGTAAAAGGCTTTGTTTGTATTGTAACTAGTATTGTGTAGTTATAAAACCCAAATACATTTGGTTATTGTGCGCTAGGGTCCAATTCCAATTAGTCGGTCAGCAGTCGACGGTTTTTATTACAAACGGGCTGGGGAAGTATACGTATGTGGGTATTACTGGCAGTACGGAAAATGTTTTTTTTTATGACTATTTCGAGCTTTTAGCATGAAGGTTTTAATGTTCCTATACTCAAATACGGTGCGGATATATCCTACTAATATTATAAATGTGAATGTTTAGCTGGATGGATGTTTGTTTGAAATTATCTCTAAAACGGCTGAATGAATCTCGATGAAATTTGAACAAATAAGCTACTTAATGAGTATTTTTTAATACCACGCGGACGGAGTCACGGGTGACAACTAGTGTATTATTATACTTGGTATTAACTAGTGATTGATTCTATTTCTTTTTCCTACTATATTTTAAACAATATTAGTCAATAAACTCACTTGAAAGTCATTATAAATTAATGGAATATGATGTATTAACATAATACAATTTAAAGTTATCGTGACAAACTTGGCCGTGGGGCATCCACCGTCAAGGTGGACCGACGATATAGGTCGCAAGGCAGACAGTCGTTGGATGCGAAAGGT